GTAGCTTCTTCAGTCTGAGGAGAGTTGGTATTAGGGATCTCCTACCAACTCTCCTCAGACTGAAGAAGCTACTTGGATGAGTAGCGAAACATTTCAACCTAACAACAAGTTCAGTTGCCATGATTCAACTTACAGATAGTTGCAAAAGATATGAGTTGAAGAAAAATAAATATTGAAATGTACTGTGGAGAAACATTACATAGTGATTTGAACAAGTAATAGTCACAAACTAAATCTAGCCAAGATGATTATGTGTTCTTTACAAACAGAATTACTAGATTAGAGGGCAAAAAGACATTGTAAACTTTATTTTTCTACTGATATCATGAGAGACTTGAATTCTTTCTAAAATGTGCAGTCAGAAACTGATTATGAAATTCCTGTGAGGAGCTGTTAACAGGGTATCATAACTTAACTATGGAACTGTGACTCATTGCAGGAAGTGTTCGTATAATAATCTGTTCTGGTATTTACAGGACCATGGGGGGAAAATGTCATTTAGTTGTACAGAATTTAAGGGGGGGGGGGACAGAAAAGCAACAAATAAAATAGAAAGTATGAGTAAAGTACTGATATTTCTTCTTTGTGTGAAATGAATTCCATAATTAATATGTTGTGAAGTGCTGGGAGTAAAGAAAGCATATTGAATTCAGTGAACTTCCCTCCTAGGAAAAGCAACAAATAGAAAGTATGAGTAAAGTACTGATATTTCTTCTTTGTGTGAAATGAATTCCATAATTAATATGTTGTGAAGTGCTGGGAGTAAAGAAAGCATATTGAATTCAGTGAACTTCCCTCCTAGGAAAATGGGTTTAGGATTACAGCTGTGATCTCGTAGAGATCTTTATTTAAACAGGAGCTATATTTATTTTAAGTACATTGAAATCAGCCATTCAAATATTTTGTCTAGGCTATCCAGGAAAACACATCACAGAACATGCATGCTTCTTCTGGTGTGTGTTTGTGTGTGTGTGTTTCTTTTCTCTTTCCAAAACCAGTAGATTTTCTTTAATGTGTCATTTTACCTGAAAGTATTATATTTCTTACTTACACTTAAGTTTTTGTATTGTCTGAAACTAATATATGGGTCCTCCTTCATCAGTGGATCCCACTCTTGGATAACCCAGAAATCTTTACCACTAGCTGTGCTTGCTGGGGTTTCTGAGAGTTGCAGACCAGGAACACCCTGTTTCCCTGAAAATAAGCCCTAACCTGAAAATAAGCCCTAGTATGATTCTTCAGGATGCTCGTAATATAAGCTGTACCCCCAAAATAAGACCCAGTTAAGTGAAACCCCACCCTCCACCATTGTGCAGCAGCCAGAAGAAGATGACATGACTCTATTTGAATAAATGTAGATTGTTGTTTGTTTATTTATTTATTTATTTATTGAATTTATACCCCGCCCATTTAGTCAACTGACTACTCTGGGTGGTAAACAACATATAAAATAAACAACTTAAAATATAGGAATGAAGTAATGCATCAAAAGACAAGAACTCAAGATGGAGGAAAAAATAAATCAAGAAGATTTTTTTTTCATGTTGTACATGAAAAAAAATAAAACATCCCCTGAAAATAAGCCCTAATGCATTTTTTGTAGCAAAAATTAATATAAGAAGTAGTAGTGTGGGAGGAAGAAAGGAAAGGTGAAGGAGGACCTCAGGTTTTCAAGATGCCGGGAAGAACAGAGATAGGAGGTGAAAGACACGTGGTGCAGTGGTGCGAGGACAACGTGAACAAGGGATAGAGGTACAGCTGAAGGGGTTTGATCCCTCATAATGGACAGTATTAGTGTTCCCTCATGGGCAAGGTCCTTGGAGGAAGGTGGTTTGCCTGGGACCCACCTCACCGAACCACAAATCTCCAGAAGGAGACTGGGCCTGTCACACATTTTGTGGAACCGTTTGTGTGATACAAAGCGCTGACCTACGGAAACTGATGGACCTGGAGAAATTTGGACCGGCCTCGTGTTAAAGGAAGAAGAGCTGAGTTGTGGACTATCTTTGGCTTGGACTGAGTTTCCTTTAGATGTTAGCCCCGTTGGCCCAACTGAAGTAGTTGTTGATTCTCCATTCACTGTTGTTAATAAAACTTTAAATGAAGGAAACAAGACTCCTATGGTCATTCCCACTGAAAGAGAGGAACTGCTTAACTTTTCTACCGTACCTGATCACAACTAAATTCGTCTTTAAGCATGGAAAAATTTTGCACTTAACAATATAGGTGCCCCAGACTAAAGTGAACACCTGTTAGATGGAGGTGGGTAGCCATTGATAACTTCCCTGTGAATTCCCCCCCCCTCCGTTGCACCGTTCATCTGCTTACCTCATAGGAACCGGCCACTACACATCTCTAAATGTACCTCACAGATCTCCACATATTCAAGTGTTGGCTTCTCATGTTTAGAATGTATTCTCCTGGAAGGCTAATCTGGGTGCTGACTTTGATGTCTTTTCAGTAGCAGGTGAAAAAACATTTTATTTTCCTAGACCTTGTAGATTTCTGGTTTTGCTGTTTAAATCTTGTTATGGCACTGGTTCAGGAGTATTCCTATTCATTTTAGTATTTGGGAAGGTTCCAGGAGAATATCTTTATTTTTAGAAGAATGTAAAAGAAAGAACCAGATTTGGTGAAGTTGGAGAGTATATGTATACAAATTTGCGAGTAATTTGAGAACCTGTGTAGTGATTTTTAGCTTCTACCAAATGATTTTACAGCTATTTCTTCTCCTGTGCCAAATGAAAGTTAAACATCAGGCCACTAGAATGCAGTTGTTTATAAATGTCAGAACATATGAAATATCCCAATAGCTTAATGACCGACTGACTTAACTCTTGTTTTCTATATAAATTGATATCTTTTGAGTCAGTGTTTCAGTTATGCTTTCTATTTTGATATTGTAAATAATTCAGTGTGTCCTCTTGCCCTAGAGGCTTGGAATGATTGTGAGTGAATGACTGTGGGCGAAAATCCAGGATCTCGACCTAGATATAGAGCTCAGTACTTCTTGGAAACAACAAGGTCAAGTGGCCCAGAACCAAAGCCAGCAAAAGTCTCAAGATGCAGTACAAAAAGGAGTAGAGAAGAAAGAAAGTCCAAAGCAGTCTAAAATTGCTCTCAGGATTTCAGGATGTAACAGTAGTCAAGAACAATCAATAAGCCATATCAGAGGCAGTTCAAAATGCAGTATCAGGTTTCCATTTGAGTGTCTGTGAAAGGATGGATTTGATTTAAATAATAAAAAAAATCAGATGTTTTGAGAATTTAATTTTTTTTAATACACCCTGGTCTGTGAGGCAAGAAAGGATGAAGTATGCAGGATCCAGAGATGATATAACAGTACTTTGTTCCAGTACCTTCTCTAATCTGAGACCTTTAAGAAGGACCTGCCAGAGCCCCTCCCCAGATTTAGCTGCAGTGTTCCAGAAATTTCTGCACTTGAGAATCCTGCACAGAAAAATCTCGCAATTGATAAGTCTTTTACCCATGAGGAATTCTTTTGTTGCATCCATGCCATTCATAAATGAGGAGGCAGGCTTATCTCTTTAGATGCTCTTTTAAATGCTGGTATTCTCTGGGGCTTAAGGACCCCTCCCTCTCTCTTGTCAAATGAGCAGCTTCATTCTTCCTGAGAGACTATACCTTCAGGTGTCCCGTGGGAGGATTCAGGCTTTCCTGGGCCAATAGGCTCAGGCAGTTCCTAAGGTCTAAGAGGTCTAGGTCTTAAATCTTCCAGGAGAGATTTTATATAGTGCTATGAATATGAATATATGACCAGACAACTATTTGAAGACCCTAGGGAAAAGCCTTATTTATTTATTTATTTATTTATTTATTTATTTATTTATTTATTCATTCATTCATTCATTCATTCATTCATTCATTCATTCATTCATTCATTCATTCATTCATTCATTCGTTTAATGAGCTAGACTTGGAACAATTGAAAGAGTTTACTTACATTGGAATCTTTATTTCAGGTATTTTTTAACAAGTATGTGCAAAAGTTCTTAAATATAATTGCTGAATTACACATTAATTAGCAAAAGTATATACAAAAGCTTGCCTGTTGTCTGTCATTATTAACTGAAGTAAACACTATTTTTCTTTCTTTCAGTGTTTTCTTGACATGACATTTGGAGCAGGAGGTCACACTACTGCACTTATGGAAAAAGCAGCAGATCTTAAAATATATGCTCTTGACAGAGATCCAACAGCTTATGAATTAGCACAGCAACTTTCTGCAGCTTATCCGTGAGTACAAGTTTTCTTGTTTGTGTTTATATGTTGAGAGTTGTCAGATTATGTATACTATGAAGTTCTTACATATGTATGTGTTTTTTTATTTCTGTCTCTTTGCAAGGAATTTGAGTGTGTTTAGGATATGGACATATATGCCAGAGTTTTACCTGTAGAATATACAGTGGTGCCCCACAAAGCGACAATAATCCATTCAAAAAAATTGTCGCTATGTGGATTTGTCGCTATGCGGGGCAAAAAAGCCCATAGGAACACATTAAAACACATTTAATGCGTTCCTATGGGCAAAAAACTCACCATTATGCGGAAATCCACCATGCGGCCGCCATTTTCGCTGCCCGGTAAGCGAGGAAAGGGCGTGAAAACACAGTGGGTGGCCATTTTCTTTACCCAGCGCCCATTTTGGAATCTCCAATCAGCTGTTGGAAAAACATCGTTATGCAATAATCGGTAAGCAAAACGCTTACCGATCATTGCAAAGCGATGTTTTCCTGTTTAAAACATTGTTATGCGATCGCTTTTGCGATCGCAAAAACTCAATTGCTATGCGAATTCGTTGTTAAACGAATCGCTCGTTAAGCGAGGCACCACTGTATATAGGCCTAAATCCTTGTGCGTAACTATGTACAGTGGTGCCCCGCATAGCGAGGTTAATCCGTTCCAGATTAACCCTCGCTATGCGGAATCGTCGCTAAACGGGTAGGGAAAACGTATTGAAACGCATTAAACTTAGTTTAATGCGTTCCAATACCTTGCTTACTTACCCGTTCAGCGAGGATTCCCCTTGCCGGCAGCCATTTTCACGCCCTCGCTAAGCGAGGGCAGGGCGTGAAAACGGCTGCCAGCAGCCGTTTCCGGGCTTCCGGCGGCCATTTTGGAGCCACCGAACAGCTGTTCGGCGGCTCCAAAATGGCTGCCGCAATACCCGATCTTCGCAATGCGGGTTTTCCCCATTGCGAAGATTGGGTATGTTTCCGTATAGCGATCCCGAAAAAGGGATCGCGATGCGGAAACATCGCTATACGGTGCGCTCGCTAAGCGAGGCACCACTGTACACACAACTCGAGGTTGTTCCTGTCGAAGTTGTACAGTGGCTGACACAGAAGTATGATTCTTTTTTTTTGTTCTTTTTTTATTAACAATTTTCGATAAGGTAGGGGATACAGAAGGTAAAGGGGGGATATGAGGGGAAAAAGTAGGGGGAGGAGAACACAAAATGTACTGCCATCCAATATATTCATATTGCCATATCAACTCGACTTTCTGCTCTTCTACTATATGGTTGCCCTCCAGGTTATAACTTACATTTACATCCTAGTTTTAATCTATGCTATTCAAGTACGATCTGGTAGCTCAAGCCATTTATATAATAAAACAGAAGTATGTTTTCTTAAGCATTTCCACTGGCACACTATGTAATGGTTGTGGTGGTGACATGCAGCTGGTTGCACAAGTGCATGGGGCAATCCCTTGTTGCCAAGCTCAATGCTCAGCATATTTACGCAAGTTACAAATAGCATTTTAATAATGCTTCTGTGTAAAAGTTGTTTGTTTGTATGCATATGATATGGATAGACATGACACACAGTTTATGCATATATAATATGTATAATTATAAACAACATTTTCAAAGTAGAATAGTATACCCAGTTTTTAATATGCTGGAAGTAAATACTGAATGTACTGCCTTTAAGTGCTTATCCTTCATCAATCCCGCCAACCTAGTGGTTCGAAAGCATGCAAATGCAGGTAGATAAATAGGGACCACCTCGGTGGGAAGGTAACAGCGTTCTGTGTCTAAGTCGCACTGGCCACGTGACCACAGAAGATTGTCTTCGGACAAACGCTGGCTCTATGGCTTGGAAACGGGGATGAGCACCGCCCCCTAGAGTCGAACACTACTGGACAAAAATTGTCAAGGGGAACCTTTACCTTTACCTTTACATATCCTTCATCAAACTGCATATACTTTTGTTTACATATATTCCCGTTTGATGTGAGATAATTTAATGGCAAGCCTACACTGAATAAATACACTGAATCTATAAAAATGTTTTTGGTACAAGGCTAAACTTGGACAACTAAACAATGGCCAGAATGGTAGCTATATCAGTTTATTACAGCAAAAAGAACATGAGATGCTGTGACACTTTGAAGTCTAGCCAATTTACTCTGACAAATGTTATTTGTACACTGTAGCTCACTTTATACAGTATGTGAAGGAGGAATTGGTTCAGTAGTTTTAAACTGTAATGAGGACTTTCCATCCTCACGGATTAAGTCTGATTTCTAAAGAAAAGCGATTCAATTAGATTATACAGTACATTTCCTGTAAGATTTATTGATACTGTACCTGGAATCTTAAATAAAAATGGATCTAAATGTTTAGAATTTCTGACTCTAGAAGATGGATTGTAACCATTTGTTAAATCTTCCCTGTTTGGGGCCTAGATCAATCTGGCTATTTTGGGAATCTTGTAATCAGGATTGGTTCTTCACACAAGAGGCTGTATATTATTTGTTTTCTGACTGCAGTACATTACAACTAACCTTTCTTTAATTTTAATTCTATTTTCTAAAAGGTGGACTTTATGAACTCTTATGCTTCCATTGAAGGGCCAATTAAAATCTTTAGTTTCCAAAATTGTGTGCTTTTGGGGGTATAATTTTTTTTGTATCAATATATAGTAAGGCTCATTCTGATTTGGTCAGATTTGGGAAGTGTATGAATTGCAGAAAAACTCTGTGGAACAGGAAAAGCATTTCTAATTTTCTCTTCCTTGTTGCATACCATGGTGCATAACCAAATATGCAACTGAATATGTGACCCACATATGTGTGAGCGCATGACAGACAGCTGGAACATTCATGCAAACAAGTTATGCAATTTAATATTTACGCTTAATGAAACCAGTAGGATTCTGGCTTATATTGATATATTGAAAATTTATATATTTCTGATGCACATTTCAATAGAAGGAAAATGCTAGAAGTGAGATTCCACTTCATCAAATAAATAGCAGATTATGGCTGCAATCCTATCTTCTTTTCCCTTTTTAAAATTCCATTTATCTCAAGCAAACTAGTTCTGAAAAAAGATGTATAGGATTACACTGGATGAGAGAAAAGCAGGACTTCACCTTAGCTTCTAGTACATCTCCTGGAGAATAGTATGAGACCTTCTTCCCTCCCAATAACATCCTGTCCAAGGTTCAGGCCAGTTGGTTTGTATCTTAAAATTTATTTGCTGTCATGGGTAGTCTAGAACTTACTGCCTGAATATTGTTTATGCTGCTTATATGTTTTTTAATCACTGCCTAGGACTAGCAGAGTCAGACACGGCATTTGCAACCAAATTGGTTATTCATGTTATCTGTAACATGTCATAATATGGAAAGAAACATACACATTGTTTGTGTATGCGTGCATGTGCACATGTGTGTCCATGTATGTGTACAATCTGCATAAAACTCACTGCAGTATTTGAATTAGTTTTAAAAGCACAATTCTTTCTAGCTGTGAAGCCATTATGGAAGATGCAGTAGTGTTTTATTAAGAAAAAAATGGGTCAAACTCTATTAAGTATTCAGTGTGTGGGCAGGAATCCTTTGACGTGTGTTCCAGGGAAGCCTATAAGTCAGGAATTGCTGCAGAGATTCCAGAACAAAATAAAATTCTGTCAGTAGCAATATATATTACAAATAAAATATTTTACACCCACTAAAAGTAAAGGTTAGAAAGGTGCCTGAAATCTAGCACCTATCTAGTATCACTGCAAATTGGAAAGAGTAAGAAACTTATGCAAACCTACACAGTGGAGTCAAGCTGTTCTCATATATTCAGTTGTAAAGTGAATCATACATGTGATGCAGGGAAAATTTTTAATCTTTAATACTCTTCTCTCTTGAATTGCATGGATCTGAGCAGCACAGTTTTGGCTATACACCGCCCATACATACATACATACATACATACATACATACATACATACATACATACATACATACATACATACATACATACATACATACATACATACATACATACATATTGAATACTGTGCTGCTATTTATCTGCAAGAAGTAGCTTGGGAAAGTTGAATCCTAGGCTTACCTAGGGCCCTGTTGTTGTCAGGGGTTGGGAGAGTGCTAGGACATGCCGGGAAACTGACATGGATCAGGGAAGCTGTGTGTGTGTGCGTGTGTGTATGTGTGTGTGTGAATGAACTGTTTATTCTTTGTAGTTACATTTGGGGGGGCATAAGATTTATACACGGGTTTTGAAGTGCATGGATTTGGCATCACTAACCCCAGCATTGTTGAAGGGGAAAGTGCATACAGTGAACCCTCGACTTACAGACTTTTCGAGTTACAGACTTCTCTGGCTGCAAAATGTAGATTCGACTTGCAGCCAGAGAATCGACTTACAGACCAGAAAAAAACCAAAATGGAATAAAAATAGAATAAAAACCACTGGTTATGGGATTAATCGGTTTTCAGTGCATTGTAGGTCAATGGAGATTCGACTTACAGACTTTTCGACTTGCAGCCACCATTCCAATACGGATTAATTCCTTAAGTAGAGGGTCCACTGTATTTATTGACTGTCTGAAATGTTTGGCTTTAAGATGAAATTAAGTTTATTGTAATGGAGTCTTCCTTAATTTTGTGTATTTGTGTAAAATTGAGAATGCAAATTCAGGCAATCAAGAGAAATATATTCAACAAAAAGTAGACTGAAAGTTACATGAATCTGTATGTGGCTTTAATGCATGAATTAGTTTTATTATTCTTCCTTATATGTATCTCAGTAGCTGATCTTTCAGAAGAACTGACCACAAGCATATGAGATGTTGGAATCAGGCTGGAAGAGTGTCTAACTTGACTCCTAGTAGTATCCAACACTGAACATCAGTGATGTCTTTCAGCAGTCAGTTATAGGTTTGCCTGTTGATTGTTACAAGACTAACCAGGAAAAAAAGCTCAAGTGTGCAC